CATCCTTTCCCCCTCCCTTCAAACCAGGTCAGTGCTACTGACCGAAGTGTCTTTAGGCCATTCACAAAGGGGATATATTAACATGTTCTTATGCACAGTAGAATTGTAAATGGGCTGATTTATCAATGTCATGCTCAAACTGTGCCGGAATAACATAGGGGGAACTGCTGCTTTTTCTTTCCTCATCCTTACTATCGTCATTTTCCTCTGCCTCTACTTCTTTTGTATATTTGTCACTTTCTTGTGAACTGCTATTTCCGGGGTGCCTTGATAGTCGAAGCAGACTTTGTGCTATTGAGGCCAAAGAGGTGAGCAGAGTAAGCCTGATTCCCTGTAAGGACTTCTCTGTTGACATCCACCCCTTGGCGCTCATATGACGTTATGCAGTTGCGAGCGCCGTAAAAATACTTACTAAAACTAAACTAAAACTAAACACGTTGGTATCATTTGCAAATTTCAGCAAGACTCACGAAAAAGAAAATGTAGGTCAATACAGTACAAAGTCGTCGTGGGTGGTTAGAGGGTGCCACCCTGGTAGGTCCTACTTCTTTTCTTTCCCTCTGTTGTTTCTGTCTGTCTGTCAAGAATCTATATCTTCCTTTTTTCCCTCTGTTGTTTCTGTCTGTCTGTCAAGAATCTATATCTTCCTTTTCCCCTCTGTCGTTTCTGTCTGTCTAGAATCTATATCTTCCTTTTCCCCTCTGTCGTTTCTGTCTGTCTATCAAGAATCTATATCTTCCTTTTCCCCTCTGTTGTTTCTGTCTGTCTGTCAAGAATCTATATCTTCCTTTTTCCCTCTGTTGTTTCTGTCTGTCTGTCAAGAATCTATATCTTCCTTTTTCCCCACACAATATAACCGTTATTTTGTCGATGAACTTTTCGTCGTTCACAACTCAAACAATGTGGTCTCACGTGATGGAACAGGGAGCTAACCAAACACAGACACGTGAGGTGTAAAATGTGATAACCGAAGATTAGATATTTTACTAGAAAGCGTACTATCATACGAAACAAAGAAGGGGGAGAGATAAGGACGATAGATGTTTGATTGGAAGGAAAGAGCAAACTACTCTAGAGCACCGGCTAACCCGCAAACGACCTGCAGTCAAATTGCCTAGTTAAATGAGCAGTTCAAATGTTACCGTATCAAATCGATAGACTTGGGTATTTGAGAATCGCTAGCTAAACAGAACCAAGGGAAACTACCTGGAATCTAAGAACTGGAATAACGATTATTCCCTATGATGATAATTTTGTGATTATGACAGGCAAGTAAATCTAGATATATGTTACAGTTTGAAAAAAAACCCTCATATTAAAAACAATTCTATCGGCAATATCTAGCTTGTTTGACCTTTTCTTTAAACATTTTTCTTTCTCTAGGATAATATTCCTGTTATAATTATTATTTGCACAACATGTGAGTGTGTGTGTGGGGGGGGGGGTGTTTGTGTTTGTATACCGCGCGACTCGCTGGCATAGGCGAACTGCGGAGGGGTTGCAAGAGTAAGATGGCGTTGTCAGATTGGTTGATTATGTCCCTTGAAGACTTGCAATTTTGTGCCTGGAGTTTTGCAAAGAAAGACATTTACCTTACATTTGAATTTCGGTACCAAATCTCTGTTCGTTGTTGGCAATTACAAATGTCACAGTTTCCCTTCTTAAAAGACTGGTTTTCTTTAAATTTTCCCAAATGCAGACTGGAGCCGACAGTCTTTGAAAGCTCAAGTTAAGCTGACAGAAACGAGAAACGTTCTTCTTTCAGAGAGAGGGAGAAAGAGAGGGAGAGAGAGAAAGATAGAGATAGAGATGGCAACAGGGCTGTTAACCTCAGAAGATCTGAAGTTCTCCATTAGCATTACACAAGTGTTCATGTACATTTTCCTGTCACTGAGTAGTGTGTTCAATACCTTTAACTTAATCGTGTTGGCCAAGTTAGGTTTCAAAGATCCCGTCAATATCTGTTTCTTTTCGCTCGCTGTATCAGATTACCTGCTAGTCATTGGGGCTTCTTCAGGGGCTTCTATTGTCTACATCTTCAGCTCCTTGCTGCAGAGTTGGTCGGTGAACTCCTTCGATCTCTCTATCCTCTTTGTTTACTACGGCCAAATGTTTCTGGACATTTCTATTCTCATTACAACGTTCATCAGCGTCCAAAGATGTTGCTGTGTGGCTCTGCCGCTACGTTTTAAAACTGTTTTCACAACGAAGAGAAGCGTCTTTGTCCTGCTTGGTATCTGGGGGTACGGTATCTCCAGCTACCTACCCGTGCTGGTCAAGCAAGGAATGCACTGGTCAGTTGACCCTCAGACAAACTCCAGCACGTTAGTTATCTGGAGAGCACCAGGAACGGCTTCTGCTTTGTCCTTCATGGACGTGGTCAACCAAACCTTCCTGGGTATAGCCTCCGAAGTTGTGGTCATCCTCTGCCTCGTTGTCCTAACTCTGGCCTTGAGGTCCACGTCACAGTTTAGAAGATCGATGATGTCGGCTGCGACTGTCCCGGGTACCGCCAAGACGGGGAGCAAGCTGAGCTCGAAGGAGGAGCAGGTGGTGAAGACGGTGACGGTGATATCTGTCGTCTTTGTCTGCACCAACAGCGCCGCGGTCTTCCTGGCAGTGGCCCGTCTGTGTGTGCCGGACTTTGACCTCTACAGACGATTCCACAACATCTTCCTCGTATCTCATAATTCGAGAGCAGCTTTAGAATATTCTGGACCCTTCCTAAACTTCCTGTCTTACTGCATATCAAACAGAAAGTTCAGAGCTCTGTTTTTTCAACTATTTCACCGACATGAGGTTTAAATATTAGTGAATGGTGTCGGTAGCCTAGTGGTTGGGCTACAGGGCCTGTAATCCTGACATTGTGGGTTGTTCGGGGGGTTCGAGCCTCAGCTGGGTCCGACGTTGTACCCTTGGGAAAGACATTTTACACGAATTTCCCATTTGGCTCGGTCCTTTCGGAGATAGACGTTTAGAATGGGAGGTCCCGCCTCGTAAATTACTTTTTAATGTTGATAGGGGCGTGAAACATTTACCGTAACTTCATCATTTAAAAAGAAATTGCATTGCATGTAAAAGGAACTGAATGTTACCGAAGAACCACAACATGATTTTCTATACATAGGCGTGAACTTGACAAACCTCTTTTACGAATTTTGCACTGGTTTCCCGTTGAGAAAAGGATTGTGTACAAGTTGGCCACCCTATGACACAAATGTTTGAATGATAATGCACCATCATATTAATCAAATCTGTTAAGACTGTACATTCCAACTCGCAGTTTAAGGTCATCAGCTGACAAAAAGACATTTATTTTACCATCTATGAAACTTAAAACAATGGGTGAAAGGGCATTTGAATACCAAGGCCCCAAGATCTGGAATGCTTTACTAAGTACTTTGAGAGAGATCAAATCTTTTGATTCATTCAAATGTCAGCTGAAGTTGTTTCTGCTTTTAAAATAATAAGATGAATATTTGGAATAATTTTGTTTAGTCAGAATACAACCTTTTATGTTACTGTTGTATGTTGTACTGTATTGTAAAGCGCTCAGAGTCTGTGTACTTTATTCGGGGTTGAGTGCTATATATACATGTCATTTATTATTATTATTATTAAAACATTCCTGATACATCTGAGTGTTGATGTCTGGGAGTACCGTTTTCCCTTGATTGTGCACACCTTTGGGTCTTTTGAGTTTGTGGCCTTTTTCTGAACATGATTTAGTAGTGGGTTACTTGAGATCTTTTCTAAACAATGTTTCCAAATCTGAAAAATGTACCCTCTGTGGTTCGCTATTTCTTTCTTATCAAACATCTAGCGTCTTTATCCCCCCCCCC